TCAGACACGCCACTCTCATTGGGGTCATTTGTTACTTGGTTAAAAAACAAGGGAGCCCTAGTGGTGGGTTTCATGTTGGGTTGCTAACCACAAGGTCAGTGTTTGAAACAACCAGCTTCTCCGAGCGAAAAGAGTGAGGCTTTCTGCCCCTGTAAAGATTTACAGTCTCAGAAACACACATGGGGTAGTCCCACATGGAGAAGCTCACCGGGAGTTGGAATCAGCTCAATGGGTGCTTTGCGTTTGAATGGTTGACCTTTTCAAAGACATTCTCGGTTCTAGCTACTAGATTTCTTGGAGAAATTCAGCTAGCAGAGATTCCTTTGGGGGCTGGTGAAATCGGGCAATGTTCCATTCTTTATCCGGTTTGTCTTGATTGGTGTGACCACTTCAACCTCTGTAGTCACAAAATCCCAGACTACGCCCCACATCTAACTGCTCATCCATTGCTTAACCCTTAAAGTCCATGATCCAAATTACAAGACTAGGCTGTGGTGGGGCATCGATGTGTTTGTTCCTTAAGAAAGAACACAAGTAAGGGGAACCGATTACAAGGATCTACATATAACCTCCTCCCTGGGGACAGACAACAGAAAAGTAGATAAAGGAAGACATTGGACAGTGTAAGATATGACACATAATAATTTATAAATTATCAAGTGTTCATGAGGGAGGGGGGAGTGGAGTGGGAGGGGGGAAATGAGGAGCTGATGCTGAGGGCTTACGGTGGAGAGCAAATGTTTTGAGAATTATGAGGGTAATGAATGTACAAATGTGCTTTATGCAATTGATGTATGTATGGATTGTGATAAGAGTTGTATGAGCCCCCAGTAAAATGATTTCTTTTAAAAAGAAAGAGAACAAGTGAGTTGAGTACTGAAAAGTACTTTTCACAGACTAGCTGATGTTACATGCAGCTATCCAGTTGGTGAGGCCACCCACTGATGGGTCATCAGAACCATAATTGGTGTGTCAAAGGGTGACCAGTCACATAAGCATCTTTGTCTGTTGGCTCCAAGAGCCAGTAGATCATATTACATAGTGCTGTCTGTGGTGACCCGCCCATGCCAGGGTGCTGAAAGGCACAAACAGAGCAGAATGAAATGTTAAATACCTTGTGCCCATTCAATTCTGGCAGAGAGCTAATTTCTTTTAAATTAAAATAGCATCGTCTTTCACGGAGCGAAACGTGGATTCAATTTTCTTTCTACTGATAAAACTTCTTCAGTCATTACCCTGAGAGCGACTACTTTCCTCAGGCTTGGTCTGAATCCTTGATCAAAACTGTAGGTTTTCTTTTGAAATATAGAGTAAATCCCCCAGGGGAACAATTACTCTCTGGATTAGTGTTCCATCTAGGCACCAAGAAGTAAAGGAATCCTTGACTTTTATTTACTTTCGAATTGTGAGCATTTTAATAAAGTAGGCAGTTTCCTGTTTTTCTTTTGTTTGTTTTGCTTTGTGTTTTACAACTTCTATGGGTAACATGTGGACAGTACTTTGAAAGGAGTTAAATAAAGTGACATATTAAAGACTATTATTGTTTACTACCACTCTGGGTCCTTTTTTTCATAGCTGTGGTTTTAAGTATCAGAATAATTTACATGCAGAAGGCAAACTGACCCAGTCTCATTCACATGAGCTTTAAATTTCTGTGGCAGATATGCTTTATAAATTGCGGGCTCTGTTGCATTAACATGCTCTTGGCCTTGACCCCATATGATGCCGCTGTTTCAAATGGCAGTTGTACTCACTGTAGTATAATTGCACAATCTCATTTTAGCAAGTGACTCTCCCCTTGAGGAGAATGACCATCATTTTCTGAAGTAAGGAATAAGTTGGGCGGGCTCCTCCCAGGGGTGGACCTTCGCGTCCTTACCAAGCACGCCGATGGGAGAGGTGCATCACTCCGTCTGCAGGCAAGCTCCTGTTCAGTGGCAGTGTTGCATTTGCAACTTGTCTTTGGGTATTTAGAGTTCCACCTGCAGTGGCATATGTGGACAGAGTGGGTGATTTTCCACAGGCAGCAGTCTAAGCCTGGGCTGCACTGTTGCTTAGTCTTCCCCACACAAAAGCTCTGTGACTCCCCACAAAGATGGTCCTGTGGCTCATGATGCAGTGAATTGTCCACTCCTGAAGGGAGACCACATCTCTAGTTGTCTCAGTCCAAGACTTCCTATCCATGAAAGGGCATTTCATTAAATAATAAGCAAATGCTCCCATCCTATTAAATAAATGCTTTCTCGATTTTCCTTCGAATGTTCAATTGTTTACATTTAGAAAGCACTATAGTTTAAAGGAAGGCATCCTGGTGGTGCTTTGGGTTAAGTGTTGGGCTACTCACTGCAAGAGGAGCGGTTCATTGCCAACAGCCACTCTTTAGGAGAAAGACAGGGCTGTTGGCTCCGGGGAAAAGTTACAGTCTCAGAAGCCCAACAGACCATCACCGTGAGTTGGAATCGACTCGGTGGCACCAAGTTTGGTTTTCAGTTTGGGGATTTAAGGTGCAACATTTACTACCATGTCAACTCTAAGACTGGAGCCCTAGTGGCAGAGTGGTTAAGTGCTTACTGCTAATTGGAAGGTTGGAAGTTGAAACCCACCAGCTTCCCTGTGGTAGGAAGATGTGGGAGTCTGCTTCTGTAAAGATGTACAGCCTTGGGTCAATTGGCATCACAAAGCCACAGAGACAATGCTCTAAATGTTACCTTAGTGAGTAGTGCTAGTGAGTGGGGTGTTGAAAGCTTAAGCAGAGAAAAAAAATGAAAACTCAAGATGGAAACAGTCCAATGGACTATGGATTACTATACAAACATCAGCCTTCAAGACCCTGAGACCAAGAGAACTAGAGGGTGCCCATCTACCACGACATGTTCTCTGGAAGATATCACATTAAAGGGCCCTGGATAAAGTGGGGGGGAAATGTGGGACAAAACTCGGAATCATAAATTTTAAAACAGACAAGGCTTACTGGTTGTATGGAGGGTGGTGGAACCCCCAGCCTTCGGGGCTGGAAATGAGCTCATCCCCATGATGCAATTTCAGCCAAGGAACAGACAAGTCTCTACAGGAAACAATGACACCAGGGGACACACAGTCTTTAGAATAACCAACTATTGGAGCTCAACAGCATAGGATTTGCCTAAAGGTGATGTTCAGGAGGAAGAAGGATTAGGGAAAGGAAAAGGGAAGCACAAAGAGCAAGGGGACAGGTGATGTCACATTGTCTCAATGACATGAAACAAACTGTGTATGAATTGTTGAGTGGACAACTGGCTAGCTCTGTAACCATTCACCCAATTCAGAGAAATCACCCCCAAATTGGCCTAAGTCAATTACTTTCAATCTAATTTGTCTGAAAATAAGTTAGTTTTTTGAAACCCTATAGAGCAGTTCTACTCTGTCCGGAGTTGCTATGCATGAGAATGGACTCTAAACCAGTGGGTTTGGTTTTCTTGGTCACCATTTTGAAAAGGTACAGCAAAGTAAGTGATGTTTTCTGTAAAGTTACCTAATTTTTTTCCTATTCTGTAGGCATCCAGGCAAAATAAATACTAAACGAAGAATGTTGGATGTAGAAATTTTGTGTAACTTTCAGATATTACAATACTTAGAAATTCCTAATACAGCTCTCAGGACGTATTTCGTTCCCCAGCACAGATCCAGAGACACTGGCATCGAATCAGTGGCCCTCGCATGGCACGCAAATCCGCCGGTCACACCCTTCATGTGCTTCGTGTTTTACTCTGTTGTCTCCTCTCATCGTGCACGATGCACTCACACCAACTGTAGTTCCCTTCAGTGGAATCTGGAAGTGTGGTATTTATTTGAATTTTCCCTGAAGCTACATGTGAAGTCAGAATTTAGCATTACAACAGAAAAACCAGGTGATACCCAGGTACAAGAAGCCCAATGATATAACATCCTTTGCACACAAAGACAGACAGTCTGATTTGCATTTCGGTCCGGAGTAGTTGGGTGAATTCCTGTCTCTGGTCCTCATTGACTCGTGGGCAGTGACGTCTCAGGACGGTGACCTGAGAAGGGTGTTGTATCCCACATGCATCTCCTTACGACTGATTGGCTGATCACAGCCCATCACATCAAGGTGAAAGACTCCTTCTTTACATAACGGCCAAACCTCTGAGCATCATGGCCCCACTGACGTATTTTGGAGGGCCCTAACTCAGTCTGTAGTAAAACCCTTTAGGGAAAAATCTAACACGACATAGTTAAGGAGGATGACTACTGTGATGAAACCAGCGAGGTCTGTTTCCGCAGTGTAGGTGAGAGGCCAGGGAGGCCAGAATTGTTGCTGGGTCAGCTGTAAACATATGTTTTGGGTTTGAAGCCAATTTTCAACAAACCCTGAAATTTCTCTGTGGTCATCTTTGAATGAAGAAGCCACTAGGCCCCCCCCTCTAAGGGTTAGGAGCCCTGGTGGTGTCATGGTGACGAGTTTTGGCTACAATCCACAAGAGCAGCAGTTTGAAGCCACCCGCCACGCCATGGGAGAGAGACGGACTTTCAAATCCCATAACAGTTACAGTCTCGGGAACTCACAGGGCTCAGTTGCACTCCGTCCTGTAGGGGTCGCTGTGAGTCAGCGTCGAGTCCGTGGCAGTGAGTTTGGTTTGAGTTTTCTCTATGGGTTACAAAGCAATTGCTTTGCTCTGGCTCGAAGGCCAAGTTCTCCTGCTCATTTAAGACAAATATCCTGGCCTCTGAGAGGATTGACCACAAAAAAATTTAGCCTGGGAAAGCCATTGGGGAGGCAAAGCAGAAGGATTTTACTTTCCTCTGCTGCCAATATTTCTGACTGGTCTTAGCTGATTTATGAATAAGTAATCATTCCGGTCTTGAGAGTTAAATATTTAAGTGTTAGGCTCCCCTTTTAGCGCTCATGTATAATAAAGGCTGGTTTTCTGTGCTCCCGGCTTCTACTCTTCATTTTCTTCTCTTTAACACATTATAATTTTTCTTCTTCTATCCCTTTTCAGCACCCTGCACGAAAATTATTTGAACATAGCGCCCAATTCTTTTGTGAAAGAAGAAAAGGAAATTCGGTGTGTGGGTCTCAGCAGGAGTTAAGCTAATGCAGCTAAAAATAATGCCGAAAAAGGAGTGCTTATCTGCAGGCAGAGTGCCCCTGATTCTCTTCCTGTGCCAGATGATTAGTGCCCTGGAAGTACCTCTTGATCGTAAGTATTAACGTTTCAAAGCTGTTAGGCCCAGGAGTCAAAACCACCCCGGCATTTACCACCACTCCACATGGTGTGAATGGAAGTCTGCGCGATGCTAGAAAGCTAATCACAGTTCATTTGGCTCTTACCTTCCGCACCTGGTGTTTCTAAAGACTCACACCAGAGAGGTGGCCTTGGAAATGGCTCGACCTATTGTCGTCTCCCTGTCATTATCTTTCCCCCACCCCACCCCTGCATCCGGTGCCTCTCTTGTGCCCTGTGGTGCAGGGTGCTGGTGGTGGTGGTGCTGCGGGGGAGAGAGGGGCCGGGTTTGGGCCTGAGAAGAAGTGAGTTTTGAGACTTTCCTGGGCCTCCCACTGGCAGCTCTTTATAGAAGCAGTTCTTCAAGAAAATGAAAATCAGTTTGAAATGATCTTGTGATCTTGCCGACTTCTCCTCACCCCCACTGGCCACTTCACGGCCTCACTTCACAGGCTGAGAGTGTCCGGGAAAAGACAGGGAATGGACGCTGTCCACCCTCCACCCAAACCGTCCATAGCTCACTCTTCTTGAATTAGACGATGGTGCACATTTCACATTAATGATGACTCTTATGTATAAAGCTGGAATGAGGAAAGGCATTTATGTGAATCTCAGTGGATAGACCTCTTTGATCAAAAACCGTGATCAAGAGACCAAGATGTAAATTTTGAGAGCAGCGTGGTTTCCATATTGGCCTGCTAACCACAAGGTCAGCAGTTCGAAACCACCAGCCACTTTGAGGGAGCAAGCTGAGGCTTTCTACTTCCATAACGATTTACAGCCTCAGAAACCCACGGAGGCCGTTCTACTCTGTCTTGGAAGGTCTCTGAGTCCGAATGGGCTCAAGGGCAGTTGGGTTGGAGAGGTTTTGGAGGCGAGTAACAATCTTCAAAAATACTCTTTCAAATGGAGCCAACTACCACTCTGGTTTTAGCTCACTCTTTTCCTCAGAGTAAAGCGGATGCTTCACTCCTGGCCTGGTGGCTCCTTTGTGACAAATGAAAATAATCCTAGGTTCCAATTGGTCATTTTCACTGCGAGGCAGCACAGGATTTCCAATCCAGACAATGACTGTATGTCAGAATTGATTGATCCTGTATCCTGGATCTGCGTGACCTCTTTAAGTCCATTAGCTTCCTGAATAGAACATCTGCTTGACAGGCTTTTCAAGGTGCAAGGAAGATAGCGCTTTCCAAGGGCTATGCAATTATTGGGAGGTCGGGGTGGGGGGTGGGGGGCTTGCCATACAGTGTGTCATTGCCAATAGGAAGGCATTAAGAGATGTGGTTTGCCCCACATTTGGTTGGCTTCCTTTGCTATCCTATTATCATCCAAAGTACAATAAAATGTACCGTCTTCCTTACATTCCAAAAGTAGTGAATCCATTGATTGCTCGAAGACATAGTTCTTCAAATTATGTACATGCATGCATCCATGATCCCTTAAGTCCCCTGGCGTAGAAATGCCTAGGCAAGCATCTGCCTAGAGGAAGCACGAGGAAGAGAGGAAAGCGCCTGAGAGAAGCACTCTTGTTCTCTCGCTGTTCAATATGTTCGCCCTGCATCTGACTGCTCAGTCGAACAATCCGAGGGAAACAGTCACCTATGGCTAACTCAATTACCGCTGCTAATGGAGAGGAGGCGGACCCATGATGAAAAGAAAGTCGTGGGCAACCCAGGCCCTCCTGCATTAACCTTTGTGAGGAGCACGGCAGGCAGCACGGCAGGGTCCTTTGAATTGCATGCTAATGTAATTTCTCCCCTGCCCCTGTCCCTTCTCCACGTGTCCAGCCTGGAGCTGCTCCTTAGTGTGGGCAGGAGATTGAGAGATCCTGAAACTAGCATACGCTAACAGGCCAAAAAGTTCAATTATGGACTTGGCAGTGAACCTTAGCAACCTAAAAAAATCTAAAATCATGGCTGGACTTGCCTTCGATGGATCGTTGTCGCAGTGTCCCATTGTTAGGTCTGATGACCACGTGCATAGTGCTGTCTGGGATAATAGGATTAGACACTACACAGTATGTGACAACTCAGATTAATTGTCGATTTCAGCAATTTTTCAAATTGAACATAATTACTTGCCTCACACAACATGTATGGGATGAAATTAGCTATTCCTATTCCTGGAAGAATCACTTTCGCCTACAGCATTGCTTTTGTTCTTCCATATGTTTGTGTGGATAGATGCTGTAGGAGGAAAAAAACATTTATGCGAATTTCTCTCTCTTGCAACCTCACGACTTCAGCCTTTGTTGGATTGATTGGTTTGGGCTTTTTGTGGATTTTTTTTGAAGATCAAATCACGTAGATGAGATCCAGCCTTTATCTCTGGATTCTAACGTTCGTATTACTAACGTTCCGTTTTCTTTAATCCTGTTTGCCACTCACCTGCTGATATTGATGGGGGAAAAGCAAACCTTCTTGAAGATTGTAAGTGTGTTTCTCCAAGCTACCAGGCCATGTGAAACATTTGTCATGCCTGTATTTTTCTAGTTAATGCTGTGCATTAAGTGTGCAACCTTATGTTTTGTGGCTGGTGTGTTTCTAAGCATGTGTGTTTACTGCACCTTAACCTTGCCTGTGTGTAGTACAAAGCACATGTAATATGTTACCTGCATGAATTCTGAAACACAAGTATGGCCCTTGTTTTCTTTTACCCCTATGCTGCTCTGTTAACTACCAAGCTTTATTCACATCTGATGTAACACAATGAGAAAATCCACAACATTTCTGAGAATGGCTTTCTGGTTCTAAATGCTAGGAAGCGTTGCTGGGATAAAGAAATGTCTCTCTGTGTCCTTGTGGAAGAAGAGCGCAGGCAGACAGGGACACCTGGGTAGGCAGCTGGATGCCCTGTACCCTTCTTGAGCCTCCAGCCAATGCACTTGTGTTTCTGGGCACCCTTAGTACCACAGCCCAGCGAATTGGACTATGGTTTAAAAATGTACAAAAGGCAAGCATGCAGCCCTGGCTTCTATCATTTCTGAATGTCTTCCTCAAGCAAGAACGTCTGCTGCCTCCAGCCATAGGGCCGCATCTGTTATCTGGGTAGAAACCATAATGAGTTCATTTCCAAGGATCTAAACATTCCTTTGATACTGCATCAACCAAAAGAGTTCTAGCAGCTCCCTTTTCCCCATATTGCTGCAAAGCACTTGTTAATTGCCAAGCAACCTAATTATGATGTAAAAAGTTCCATCCAGATGGCAAACTCATGGCAGTTGGGTGTGACATTGAAGGCACATGTGAACCACAAGCTCTGAGCTCGAAACCACCGTGTCTGCGCCTCTGGCACTCCCAGCAGAGCATAAGACATCAGCCC